TGACAAAACAATAACATTCATTCAAGTAAGATTACGAGGTTATCCAACGCATGCTTACTGGGTGTTAATGTAGAGATGATGATGATGATGATGATGATGATGATGATGATGATGATGATGATGATGGTGGTGATGATGATGACGATAATGATTATTATTATTATTATTATTATTATGGTGATGATGATGATGATGATGATGATGATTATGGTGATGATGATGGATAATGGATGATGGATGATGAAAAATGATTTTGGTGATACCTGATAATGATAATTATGGCAATGGGGATGATACAACAAAGACGACTAGGATTATAATGTTGATTATAATAATAATAAAAAGACAATATCAACGTCGATGATAAAATAGCAGTAACGATGATAACAAAAACAACTACCCCATTTTCTCGTCTGGGGATAAAAAGAAATTAAATGATCAACAGAAAACAATGGTGCAAACGACATTTTTAGCTCTAATCCATTGCAGATTGTACATTAACTATTTAAAGTCTGACTCACATTTACCCTTGTCAGTATTTGCACAGTTCAACATCTGAAGCCTTAATGTTTGCTTTTTAAGAAGAGTTCCACAAAGGTATCATGTTTGAAATTACAGACAGTGAGAGAGCGAGAGGCGGAGGAGGGGGGGGCAGGGAGAAGAAAAGGATGAGGTGGAAGACGAGGGAGAGGAAAGGAGAGGTGGAAAGCAGAGGGAATATGAAAGAAGAGAGAGAGAGAGAGAGAGAAGGGAGAGGGAGAGGAGAGGGAGAGGGAGAGAGAGGAGAGGACAGAGAGAGAGAGGGAGAGAAGAGAGAGAGAGAGAGAGGAGAGAGAGAGAGAGAGGAGAGAGAGAGAGAGAGAGAGAGAGAGAGAGAGAGAGAGAGAGAGAGAGAGAGAGAGACAACAGACAGATACACGGAAAGAAAGTGACAGAAAGTGTGTGTGCGTGTGTGTGTGTGTGTGTGTGTGTGTGTGTGTGTGTGTGTGTGTGTGTGTGTGTGTGTGTGTGTGTGTGTGTGTGTGTGTGTGTGTGTGTGAGAGAGAGAGAGAGAGAGAGAGAGAGAGAGAGAGAGAGAGAGAGAGAGAGAGAGAGAGAGAGAGAGAGAGAGAGAGAGAGAGAGAGAGAGAGAGAGAGAGCTTGAGTGTCTGCGTGTAGGTTCGCGCGTGGGTACGTGCATAAACCCTGAGTATTTGCGTGATTCTTTACCATGCATCATCAGAGACAAACCTCCTCAACAGGCATTTCGACATTACAAGATGCATGCAACCATTCCTTTTAATAAGGCCATAAACAACAGCAGAATCACGACCGTTCTTCCCTGGCGAGCGCAATAACTAGGCCAGTCGGGGCGCGTGAAATATTCGCACCCGCCAGATCGTACCCTTGTGCACCGAGACATTACAAATGGGCGCGTGTGACTGAAAGTTGATACTCCGCCCAAGTGGAATAGTAGTTGACGCGAGGGCAAGTGGGGGCGGCAGTCACGTGTGTCTGAAAGTCGAAATTTTCACTTCTGCGATATATAAGACCTCACGTGATGCTGGTGGGCACACTGCCACTTCGAGGTTCCTACTGACACCTTCCCAAGAATCAAAATGCTATTCAAGGTTGCTTTGGACAGAGTGCTTTTCTCAAATATTTCTGCGGAAAATGAAGGAAATTGATAAATACAATCTGGATCTCAACCAAGTCAAGTGATTTTTAATATTAGAAGAGTGTGATAAGCAAGTTACTGTGATAAGGAAAAAAATGATTACAGTGTCTGTTTTTTTCCTAGTTTGCAGTTATGTTGGCGGTGGTGTGTGCGGCGACGGCGTATCCGGACGTCTATGAACCAGTTTACTATCCGGTAGTAAATGTGCTCTCGTGATCGACTGTAAATACATGCATCATATTTCCCTATCAATAAGACGGTATTAGAACACTAACTTTTCGCCAAAATATTGAGACGTGAGTTGCTAACTGAAATCGAATTTTAACTGTACCCCCCCCCCCCTACCAGGAGCCTCTGCCGTACTACTTCAACTACGACGTCCACGACGACTACAAGGGAACGCACTTCGACAGGAACGAGAAATCCGACGGCAAGGCTCTGCACGGCTCCTACACCGTCGCCCTCCCAGACGGCCGCAAACAACACGTAATAATCAGTTTCTTATTAGGTAACTATTTTACCATGAATAAAATATTAAAAACATACATAAAAAAGAGAGAAGAAAAATCACACTATCTTTCCCCACCAGGTTGAGTACAAGGCCGACCACTACAAGGGCTTCGTGGCCAAGGTCAGCTACTACGGCAAGGCCAAGCACCCCAAGTACTACGGCCCGGCCATCACCTTCAAGCACAAAGGAGATAGCTACCACTGAATTAAGCCTTGATGTTTATATCTAGTCGTACTGAATGTAATTTCTATATCCAATAAAACTGTCTATACTTTAAGCTGATTGTGTTTCATAAATAGAGCTACTGTCCTCATTCTCTTCCTATAACCGTCTCTCTCTCTCTCCTCTCTCCTTCTCCTTCTCTCTCTCTCCTCTCTCTCTCTCTCCCCTCTCCCACTCTCTCTCCCCTCTCTCCTCTCTCTCTCCCTCTCACACTCTCTCCCCCTCTCTCCCTCTCCCTCTCCTTCTCTCTCCCCTCCCCGCCTCTCCCTCTCAATTCCTTCGGCCCATCTTACACAAATCTCGAATCCGGGATCTTTCACTCGACACCGCTACGGCTTCGGGAGTTTGGTTCCAATAAATAATCTAAAATTCAAATACTTTATATATTGCACGCGCGAGTTTATATATATTTCCCACCAGACTCGCGCAAGTTTCTTCATTTGACGGAGGAACGCGAGACGCCGGTATTGACAGATCTTGCTTGATATTGAAATCTGACCCGATAGCTGAAGTTAATCAAGAACTACCCCATCTCCCATCTTAAAATACCGTCAGGAGATATCGTGCGAGAAATATTGGGTTCTAAAGAAAAAATGAAAATAAAAATACGCTCAAAAATGCTGTCTCCGATAATCACCCTAAGTGCATCGAGAATCTCGTATTATTCATGCAAATCTAATATTCATACAACAGCTGGGACCGGTAAGGAAATCTTGGCCTCTCATTCTGCAATGCCACCGCTCTTTTCGTTACATCAATCAAGAAATTCAAATAGGCCTAATACCGTCGCTGATCAAGACATCCATACAACGCCTCGAGACAACGACAGTAATCTGAGACTCAGAAAAATGAAAATATATATCACCGAAGTTTCTTTTCACAGCATTCGAACTGCAACAACTCTCGTGGTCACTTGTCTATTCACGCTAGATTTGTCACACGACGAAAACCCCACATACTGCCCACGCTAATTCGACGCAGGCCGCAGCGTGAGGACAGCCCTCCCCAGCCAGCCCGAGCGGACACAACGAGCCGCCCTAATTGATTTCAAATTCCAATCTCGCGATCACGTGACCTGCCAACTCCGCACAATATACTGGATTCATGTGGTCATTATCCGGGAGCGCGCGTAACTCTCGCTCCCATCAAACGGCGGGCGAGTCCAGTCGAATCGGCTGAGTTCCAGCGTAAAATCGGGTTCTGTCGGACGATCAGATTTCCCGGGAGGCTGAGGGGCTTCTGGAGAGGATTTGTTGTCGCTGACACTTCGCATTTTCTTAATTCAGATACGCCGGTTGCTTCCGTCAGATTCTGTTGGTTCGTTACCTGCTTCATTACGGACGAGTCTCCTTCATAAATCTATCAGTACAATTACTTTCGCTGTCACTCTTCTTCCTCATGTATCCTTCCTCCCTCCCGCCCTCATATCTCTCTCTTTCTCTTGCCATCTCTCTTCTCTTTCTCTCCTCTCCCCTTCTCCCTTCTCCCTTTCCCTCTCCCTCCCTCTTCCTCGTTTATTCCTCCCTCCCTCCCACCCTCATTTCTCTCTTTCTCTCCCTCTCCCCTTCTCCCTTTCCCTCTACCCGCCCTCTTCCTCTCACTCTTACTGTCCATGTGAATAGTATGAGAGGGATGCTTGAGCGAGAGAGACAGGGAGACGGCTTAGCCAAAGTCCGTCAGACAGCACCCACCTAATACTAACTCAGCGCCCACGCGAGAGAGAGATCAACAGGCTAAAACCAAGATCCTGGAAAGCACAACTGCTGTATTCTCTCTGTTTTTCTATAATCTTCCCAAAGGCAACAATAGTAACAAAAAAAAGAGAATTACTTCGCTACGCTTTTAAAAAAATGTATTTATACCTACCTTATAAATGTTTCAGCTTAGGTAAATTATTATCGTATGGACGGTAATATATAAACAGTGTTGTTGTACTGTGGAGTTCTTGCACAGAAGACTCAAAAGTTATTGTAATTTCCAGGATTTCTTCATTCTTCAGCGTTCTCAAAAAGGCAATTCAAGAAGTTGCCCTATCAAATATCAAATACTAGGGTCACTTTCTCTCTCTCTCTCTCTCTCTCTCTCTCTCTCTCTCTCTCTCTCACTCTCTCTCTCTCTCTCTCTCTCTACACACACACATACACACACACACACAGCACACACACACTCACACTCACACCACACTCACACTCACATCACACTCACATCACAACTCACACACACACACACACACACACACACACACACACACACACACACACACTCACTCACTCACTCACTCACACTCACTTCATCACTCACTCACTCACTCTCACTCTCATCACTCACTCTCACTCTCACTCTCACTCTCCTCTCACTGCTCTCCTCACTCACTCTCACTCTCTCAATCATCAGCAAAAGACAATATGATCAAATAAAAAAAGGTTCCATAAATATCAATAGGTTTACGTCACCATAATCAGCAGCGTTTCCCTCACATCCATTGCTAGTCCTTTTACGTACCTGTGGAAGAAAGAAAACGTTATATTTAGAAAAAAAAAACAGCAACAACAATATAGCGACATAAGTTATGCATGATATTACAAACTAACATATATGTAAATAGATCATCAAAAGAAAGAAAGAAAGGGGAAAAAAGACAGATAGATAAGAAACATATTCATATATCATACCAGACATATGGCAGATAAGAACTGACGTGATATTATTAAAACCGTATAGATATAATCAAGCGATTGACGTCTTAAAGGAAGTGAATTCTGCAAGCCATCAGGAAATTGAAAAAAAAAAAATCTATTCATCACATTACACATGGGTTTCGGATCTTTCTGGCTAGTAATAAAAAAATAAAGTTTACGATATGACTGTAGCATCACCAACAACGAATACCCATATCATATACTACGGCAAAGGGTATACCTTTATCATAACATCAACAAAACGCGTAAAAAAAATATGAAATGCCCTTTTTTAACAATGCATTTACAACTATCCTATTGATGTAGGTACTATAAATATTCTACAACACAAAAAAAATAATAATTCAACAGTATTTCCCTGAAATGGATTTTTTCAGAAAACATACGAAATTATTGCTTGTTTGGAACTTCCCAGTAAAAGCAATATTCTTAATTATCTAAGTAACATGTCATCACAGGCGTCGAATTATAGCCGATAGCTTTAAAATAAAAAGCTATAAATGTATGAAAATTGTCCGAACCAGAAATTCGATTAAAAATGTACCTAATCAGAATATCGATGAAAATCGTCCCAACCCAGATATCCATTTAAAACGTTTCACACCCGATAGTTGGCCAAAAAAACGTTCCGAATCAATGTATTGCCAATCTCATGAACAATGTGACACATCAACACACATTCTTCCCTCCTCCCTTGGGGCATAGTTCGCGCTCTGCTTTCATCGACAGAAAAAAGGAAAGGTCACGGTCGCTGACTTCGACGACATGATGTGAGCGAGTGACGCAGTCTTATCAAAGCCTCCACTATAAAGCCTCCTGCTTGCCTCCTCCATCACATCAGTCTCTCCTCCTCTCTCCTCTTGTGAACTTCACAAAGCTCCTAGAATGTTCTCAAAGGTTAGTATGTTCCTCTATAAAAAAAAGAACAATGTATTTGCTCCACATGACCAAACTAATTGAAAAAGTTTGCTCGAAAATTAGCGATATCTCTAACGCAAGATATAGAACGTAATCACAAGAACAACAACTTATTTCGAAACGGCCTGTGTCTTCCCGAAGGTCGCCCTGTTTGTCGCTGTCTCGGTGTTTGCGGGAGTCGCCATGGCATTCCCGGACGTCTACGAGCCTGTTTACTACCCCGTGAGTTAATATGCATTTATTCTTATGTTCTGAATAACTGATTTTGTATACAAGTCTCTCTTTTCTCTCTCTCTCTTTCTCTTCTCTTCTCCCTCTCACTTTCTCTCTCTCTCTCTCCCCTCCCCCCCTCTCTCCCTCTCTCTTTCTGTCTCCCCCTCTCACTTTCTTACTCTCTCTCCCTCTCCTCCCCGTCCCCTCTCTCTCTCTCCGCATAAATTCAAGTTCAAAACGTCTCCCGCCAAAGGAACCTCTCCCGTACTACTTCAACTACGACGTCCACGACGACTACAAGGGCGCGCACTACAGCCGAAACGAGAAATCCGACGGGAAGGCTTTGTACGGGTCCTACACAGTCGCCCTCCCAGACGGCCGGAAGCAAACTGTAAGTAGTTTCTGCCCCTATGGCAAAAAACGTAAGCGGCAATAACATAAAAGTAAAGTATAATACTCCCCCAAAATTATCATTTCTGTAGGATGATTTCCCCCCCAAAAATGTAACATTACTTTCTCGACAGGTTGACTATACTGCTGACCACTACAAGGGTTTCGTAGCCAAGGTCAGCTACTCCGGCAAGGCCCAGCACCCTAAGTTTTATGGGCCTGCGATCACATTCAAGCAGAACGGCGGGTATCACTGAAGTTGTTCCATCTCTCAACTCAACTTTATATGATGTTACGCCATTCTGCAGCCATACATTATCCATTAATTTGTATTTTCATTAATAAATAAGAGCCATTTAACCAACCCAGACTTTACATGTAACCATAGTAAATTCTCTAAATCCGAATACCTGACTGGAAAACAATATTATTATTATATATATATATATATATATATATATATATATATAATATATATATATATATATATATGTATGTGTATGTGTGTGTGTGTGTATGTGTATGTTGTATGTGTATGTGTTGTGTATGTGTATTGTATGTGTGTTATGTGTATGTGTAATGTGTATGTGTGTATGTGTATGTGTATGTGTATGTTGTGTATGTATATTATTGTATATGTATATGTATATTGTATATGTATATGTATATGATTATATATATATATATATATATATATATATATATATATATATATATATATGTATGTGTATGTGTATGTGTATGTGTATGTGTATGTGTATGTGTATGTGTATGTGTATGTGTATGTGTATGTATGTATATGTGTATGTGTATGTGTATGTATATGTATATTGTATATGTATAGTATATATGTATATGTTATATATGTATATATGTATATATGTATATAATAATATATATATATATATATAATATATAATTAATTAATATCAGAGTACCAAAACAAATAACAGTCTCAAATGAACAAGATAATATGAATTGCTGATCACATCAATCTCATTTCCTGATGAAATTCTCAATATATAAAACCATATGAGTAATTTTCAATAAGGATCTTATTACTTATTGGATGGGTCTCCTTTCCAATAAATCACTATGTATATTGCTATCGGGATATCAACGGAAATCTCTACAAAAGATATAATCGTCCTTAAGTTTATTTAAGACATGTACGAAAAAATCATAATGCATATTAATGGATTACATAATTAGTGGATGACTCACAGTAGGTTTTAGTTTCTACAAAAGGAAAAAAAAAACTTTCCAAACATTATAAAAGGTAATCAGATGCACAAGAAGGCAAAATACACAATTTTCCGATGCGCAGTCCGTGGGGGTCCCTGACACCGGTTCGGGGCTACTCTGATATCCAGTCTAATTGAACAGTAAAAGGTCAGACCTGAGACATCAGAAACATCTCTCTCAGCTAAAGTAAGTAGCTAAAGTAAGTAAGTAAGTCAGTCAGTCAGTCAGTCTCTCTTCTCTCTCGTCTTCTTTCTCTCTCACACACACACCACTTCTTTCTCAGCCACCTACAGCAAACACACACCGACGTGTATACATAAATACAGGCAGATAGCTGCACAAGTTTATTTAGATAGTGCATGACGCATGACATGAAGGGAAATATATGGAATATACCAAAGTGAATTAATAATAATAAAATCTGGTGCGTATATTAACATATATAATTACCACAACATCACATATATAGACACATATGACATTAAATCACATTAGCACACAATATGCAGCAGTACCCTTCTAGCACGATAACGAGCAGTGAGAGACAGTAGGTTAGCATAGAGTAGTCACAGTAGGCATTAAGTAGGGCTGCAACCGCATTACTCACGACGCACACACACCACACATATACTACTATCATACTAATAGTAAGCTATAAGTATATTGATAGTATAGTATAGTATTAATACATAGCCATATTGACTAATACATAACAATATATACATGATATGATAATACTAGCATATACCAGTATATACAATAATATATACATGCTACTAGATACGATATATATGATGAACGATATACGTATACGTTGACTCATAGCCATATATACCATATATATATTATTAAAATAGTATTTATAAATATATATATAACTATATACTATATAGTATATAGTATACGTTAATTTTCAAATATGTAGGTTATATATATATATGTGATATATAATCAAATAGCATATATACCCGGTTTATATATAGGGGTAGTATATATAGTAGTATATTATCGGGAGTATACTAGTGAAAGCCGTAGTATGGACCGTTGTGACAAATATGTATATTATTATTAGTAATAATAATATGAATTGATAAGTATTATATATATATAGTATAGTAGTGTTATAATACTATGTTATATTCACTGATATACTTTATATGATAATAATATCATATATAGGAATATATATATCATATATGATATGATAGTCGTATTGATTGTAATCAGAATATATTATATTTAGGGAGCATTACTTATGGAGCTAGGTGAAATAGCGTATACTATATAAGCGTGTGTAATAGCGTTGTAGGTTATTGATATGTGAATATAATATGAGGGTATACGTATATAGTGTTTTATATATATGTGGTGTATAGTATTGGTATATATATGGTATATATAGATGTATATTGATATGTTTTATATAGTATGTATCATATATTATTGTATACGGCTATCAATATAATATGATAAGTATAACGTGGGTATAATATATAGTAGTATTACTATATATGTTATATATATATGTATATATATATACATACTATATATATGATCATTGGCTCACCGTATATAGTACATATTTATGGATAGTATCATATATAATCGTGTATTATATGTATATTTACGTATAATATAGTATATACCGATATTGAATTACGGTATATATACTAGTGTGTATAGATATAGTTTAATATATATATGATAAGCGACTTATGTATAATTAGTATATATAATATAATTGAGTATATATTAGTGTTATTATACTATTATTATATTTTAATATATATTATTAATAATATAATATATACCGTAATTTATTATATTACTTATATATATATAGTTATATTTGTATGATATATATATTCTATATATAGCGTATTGAGTCCTATGATATTGTGATTTATTTAGTATACTAAAGCTGACTGTGCGTTACCTATAGCACGATGATGAGAAGGCGGGTGTTCTATATATATAGTTAGAGCGAGTATAGTTAGTATAATACATCGAAATAATATAAGGAGCTATAGGTATAATATAGGGTAGTGATATATAGTATGATATATACCTTACTAAATATTATATTGTACACGTTCGAAGAATTTGTGTCTGGCGTACTAATGCAGGCACCACGTGGTCACAGCG